CCATGGCTTTGACATTGATATCTTGTTGTTCATAATAGAGAAGCTCGACTGTCGCGGCTGCTGTCTTGACTTCGGAGCTCTTGTGTAGGTCCATCCTGTGTTGGCATAGATTAGTGCTATTCAGTGTTAAATACATGAAAGCTATGATATACTTGCCTGTGGCAACCCCAAATCATGGCAATGAATCAAGGCTTTAGAATTGCCATCGACGATGGTAGAAGGGAAACAGAAATGGAAATAACTTGTCGAAGGGGTCGTAGAATATGCGCACATGAGACACGATGAAATGAATATATGATGGAAGTTCAGGGAAGATGCTTTGATGGTTGTGGGTTGTGTTGTCGTTACAAGCACGAAGGGCGACTGTGCTTTACAAAGAAACAGATTGTAAAACCGAACCACAATTCGATCGACACAACGAATAGACAGTCAGGGGCGAGGAGATAGGGTAGTGATAGGGTAGGTGACTGAGACCTGGTAGGGCCAATCTCGCTGTGGCTGCAGGCGCAGTGCACGGAGACTTGTTTGCTGAAGTACGTTGGTCGCCGGCTGTAAGGCACCAAAAGCACTGCTGGTTATGCCCATAGTCCAGAGAAAGAACTGACCGTTTTAAGGCAGGAGGCTGAAGATGCACACGATACTGAGAACGATGAACCAATAAATATTCGCGGGCCAAACATGATAGGAAAGAGGTGGGGGAAACACGTTGCTGCGTCACTGGCGATTTTTCGCACGCACATGACCAAAAAGGACATTACTGAAAAATCGTGAACACGACGCTTCACAGATGCGACTTCCCGCAATTCTACATAATATCTAAGTCTTTTCATCTACGATTATTCCACATCCTCGTAAGAGTATATTGATGGCGAAGAAGAAACGAACCGTTTCCAAGAAGCTTACCATCAAGCTTCCTGCAGGAAAGAAACTAGACCTTCTGGACAAGATACTCGAATGCCCGTGAGGAAATGATGAGGTCTTCACTGAAGATAAGTATCTTCGACAGCTATCAGGAGTGCTAGTTTGCAACTTCACAAGGTTAGGCGGGACATACCTGATGGAATGAAGACTACCGGAATGACTTTCTTTGTTCACTCCAGCCATGTGCTTGAGGCTGGTACTCCGTTGAATAATGTGCATTGTGCAGGAGAGTTCCCAACAACATGAGATTCGAAGAAACAATGACGAGTCACAGCCGAAACAGCATCACGCGACTGGCTATAAATTTCAAATTTATCTTTGTTCGACTAGTCTGGGACTCTGGGTTCAGTACTTCAAAGCTTCAAGCTTCAAGCTTCAGTGGTGACAAACATTTGCACCCAACAATACTCGTTAATGTTCACATCCACCAGCAGAATGTTCGAATTCTCTGACCGGTAGATTGGTATTGGTTGGAAACCAAAATCTACTTTCATTCGATTGATACCTAGGACTTCCATTTTTGATTGATGTCGCATCACAATCGTGACTCAAGGGCCCGCCACCCATTGAATCCGACTCGGAGATGGGTATGCCAATTCTGGCGATACAAGCGGTGAATGTTTGAACAGCAGTGTATACTAGCACAAACACTACATCGTTATAACCCCCCCAGCATCTCTTACTCGCTCAAACCCTTCCCTCGAATATGACTCTGGTCTCAAATGATCCCAGTTCGTGGCTGATAATCAATTCAAATATTCATTCAAGCTATTTCTCAGGTTTGTCATATCAGTTGATAATGTCTTGATCTAACATCGACTTGCGGTTTCACAGTCGCAATAGGCGTCGTGGTGGTATACGATTGGGGTGAGCAGCACAGCTTTCTACAACCTTGATATTCTCATAATATTTCCAGTCTTAACACTCAGACAAGAGGTACGTCGATGTTATCGCAGTGGCAGCCAACTCGCTAAAAATGGTGTCATAGATTGAACTAATCTGGGTGAGTGACAAAGTCCCATATCAGGAGAAACACAAGGAAATACAATAAACTTGCGACAGAGGCAATGCTGGTCTTTAATAACTGTGCTATACCTGGTTGTTCGTACCTCGTGTTATACTATAGCGTAGTTGGCGAGTTATGCTGACTCCAAAATGTTCTAGATATGCTATGTCGGAATACCATATTCTGTGTATGTTTCTAAAGCCAACAAGTTGGTACTATACTAATGGCCCATCTCGTAATCAGTGTCAACATTCTGGGTATGTCTCATATGCATCATGTTCGATTCTTCTGACCAGTGGCACACAGCATATATGCCATTGGTCCCGAAGACAGATGCAGTGAGTATTTCCCAACCGATCTCATTCTCATCCAATGAATAACGAATACACTCATTTGCAGGGGCGAGTGAGATTCTGACCATTCAACTTGGCTCAACATAATGACTCGATAGGTGTGAGTTCGAGTGTTTGATGCTAGTACCGTCGCTAATTCTTGAGTGTTTCAGGTAATTTTACGTACTACACAATAAATGTGGCAAGTGTGATCGTACCTGCTATGTTGGGCGGTGAGTTATCCAGCTGCAATAATTCCGTGATATTGATTCGACAAGTCATCATGATTGCTCGCTTACATGCAATGTACCAGGGATCTAGAATAATGCTTATCTTCCTTGTTATTATCCTCCTAGCTATAAACATCGGCTGCGGAGTACTTATGGCAATAGCATTCAAATATATTGTAATGGGTAAGCTTTATTTGTTGACTTGAAGAATACAGCTCATCGGACGAGCACCAGAGGTACTGATACTCTCTGGCACGTATATGTGCGCTTACGAATATGAGGAGAATGCCCAGCTTCTGATTTCAATGCTTTGGATGCTCTACACCATTTGGGAGGTCCTCGCATTGTGTCTTTCAGTCCGGGTTGCTGTGAAACATTTTCATGACCTGCGACGTCTCAGTCTATCGAGATCGATTATCGGGGACTGTTTCAGGGTGCTGATGGAATCTCACGTGCTTTATTTTGCAAGGTGATTGTAATGCGAATACAGTTATCTTCCCTGCTGAAGTTCCATACATACCAGCTTTGTCTGTGTCTCGTGCATCCAATTTGTTATTCTCTCTCCAGAGTTGCAGGTATGCAGACCTGTTGTTGACATCTGCTTGTAACCACTGCTCACCATCTCTGTAGAATCCATCTTTTATTGGAACTCAAATCCTCGGTGGTATTCGTGAATTCGTCTTCGGCGTGCAGCTGTTTGTGCTGGGACCACACCTCGTCCTTAGTGTTCGAGAATATCACGCCAACCTCGTGGCCGAATCCGACGCAGAAACTAGCATAAATTCGATTGTCTTCCAGGAGCGTGTACATATACCAACTAGTAGTCCTGTGTAAGGAAATGCTTGCCGAGTATTTTGCAGGGAGATGTTCGGCGGAGGATCCGTCGTAGTATTTACATTATAGTGCGTTGAAGCATATTTAAGACGAGTTTGATATAGACAAACCCATTTCTTGTCGCACTACCGGAAGTTGGTGACTTGCCCTTTTGTGGCTTGACTATATGCCTCTATCACAAATGAGTATGGCAAGGAGATGGGATGCGGAGCATGGATTGGAAAATTAGAGAACCAGAGCTTCAAGCCTCGAGCGCACCTGTAAATTATTGATTAGGCATTGACCACGATATTCTGAATCGCATGCATAAATACGTTGATCGGAGTCACGCCATCGGAGCGTTCCGCCCATGCGACTGCAGATTGTGTGTCGTGTTTGTATCCTTGCAGTGATCTGTTGGAGCTACCAAGACCGTCAGAGTAAAGTACCGATCGAAATACATACGTACATACATATATCCATCATCTGGATCGAATGAATGGAAAGTAGAAGTAGCGTGTCTGAGCTCACACAGTTGATAGTACAAGGGTTCTGCAGCATATCGACTCTCACCTTCACTCAGTGGCGTCATACGACAGAGTTGTGCCTGGCAAGCCATTAGAGTGGCCAATGTAGTCCCTGAATGGACTCATCGCTGATTGTCCCTCTCCACGCTGTCCACCTTTGAAGGTGCTTGTAAGTCAAGCCCTTATTGTTGAATGTCTGACGGTCATAGATATAAGCGTAACCGGCCAGACGCGTGCCCCCATATCATCCATCTCGACAAGAGAGAAGTAAAGGATCGTAGGTCAAGAGTGGAAGGAAGCACTGTTCAGGTCGAGCGTGAAAATTTTAAAAAGGCACTTATGGGGTGAGTATATGCATCTGTCACGAATGAATGCGCGTGGTAGAGATGAGAGCTTCAAGTCCGAGGGCATCAAGCTGACCTAAAAATGTATCAGGAAAGCGCCGACCACGATATTTTCATATGCGTACTTGGATCTGACAGCACTGTCATGTGCCAGAGTAAAGCAAAGGAAGAAGCGACTTAAGCAAGTCATGAAATCGCAGATAGTTGATAATGCATCAGGTCCGCTAGAATGCTCGGATGTCTTCATTGTAATTTGTCTGTGCAGTAGTGAAGTAGTGCGAAATTGTGCGTAAAGGGAAAAGGCTGTCGATGTCCAGGAGACCACCAGTTAACTGATTGGGTGCCGATAATCTGACCGAACCAATGCATCGCTGACCACTGTTAGATAGACATGTCTTCATCAACAATCATCTGGTTTCGAGCACGATTCAACGATACGGAGTATTATGGTTATTAAAAAAATTACGGCTCGAGTATTTGCTTCTATCTTGGATGCGCATGGCAAAGAAATGCGGCGTGTTGAGCGGGGAGTAAAGCGCACTTGACAAAGTATCACTGAGGCGCCAGTCGTCCGAGCACAACAAAAGTGTGCAGTCATCCATCTGGGCCGGACACATCAGGAAAAACCCGAACGGCGGTAGCCCTGGTCACCAATATAATGCACTCCATAGCTACCATACTGACAGGTAGGCACCCGCCTAAATCTGTCGGTCGATGTACCCGATGTAGCTGACACGACGCATACAGAGACCAACGTATATAACATTATCACGTCCAAAAACCTATAGTACCAGTATCCTACATACCTGTCTGTAGTAGCGGCAACTCTATGTAATGGCACTTGAGACGCAAAACATATCAAGGTCAATAAATTCGTTGAAATAGAAATTGCTTGCCATCTCATAGACGTTTGCGCTTGTCCAGCTGGGGTCTACCTTTTGGCCCATTTTCGGAACAAGGTGACATGGCCGAACAAGCTCGTCGACGTGTACGACTGCTCCATTCCAACGTAAGTGACGAGTCGAACGTGAAACTTGACGCAAACCTGAGAACTGGTCTGGCTCCCTGAATGGCGTGAACCATTCAACATAGGCAAGAGGTCGCGAGTATGAGCCGAACTGACGAGGCAGCGTGAAGATTACACGCACCTGCGCAACCTGAACAGCTATGACTGGGAGTCCATCACCGTACATTGTAAGTTAAAAAGCAATAACATACCTTCCAAAGTGTACAACTTTGATGCTCGGACACCATCAGTCAACAACGCCATGTCAAATCGCGCGGGAGAACCTGGCTTCCGTCCAGAAGGTGATGGAAGCACTTCAGGTGTTGCCCTCACCCGCAGACGCTTCGGTAACTCCGACACACGGGGGTTGGGGGGAATGATTATGACAGCTTGCCGAAAAACATCAAAATGGTCTTGATAACCGGGCACGATGTGATTGTGTGGCATGTACTTCCGTAAAAATGACTTGAAAGCAGGCAGAAAATCGATGGCGCCATGCATGGTTTCATGATGCTGGATAGATTGTCGTGGGTGTGGAGGTGTCTTCGCAAGAACGTGGACAATGTCTTGCGAAACCACTGGTACGAAGTCAAAGTCTTCCTCGGCATCAGAGTCGGAGTCATAGCCATATTGATGTTCAGTCTGAGCGCAATGTTCAGCGACCCACTCAAGGTAAGAGACCCGCCAGAAGATTGCTTCGTGTGAAAAATTGACGGTCCTTTCAGTGGTGTTTGCAGTCCTCGCTTGAGACTGCAAACTTGTCACGTGACGACTCAGCCACAGCGCTCGCCTTCCTTTCTAAGTTTCTTGCGCTCGTTTTTGCCAATACCATTCCACATGCGCCTGGACCTCGACCACCGACGATCGACACCGATCGACGTCTCGCGGATCAAAAAGCAGCCCGAGAAATGGAACGACCAACGTCGTTGACTGCCTCCAAGGCACCTGCAAAAACCACTGACAAAGAAGCAGGTGGACCTTGATATGGGGTTCTCGATTCTCGATCTCCAACAAGGCCAATCTCATATGATATCTTCGAGCGCGTCAGTACGTTGTCCTACCTCTACATCAACTTCGTCGCGGGTCTAATTTGGCCGCAGTGTTTGAGGCAGGTGCACCCTGATATGTGCCCATCTCCAATGGGACTGTGGCCATCCTGAACTCGTTTGTCAATGACATCTTCGAGCGCATTGGTACGTCCTCCTACTTCTTCGTCGTGGGTCTATAACCTTTGTCGCAGTGTTCAGGCAGGTGCACCCTGATATGTGCCCATCTCCAATGGGACCGTGGCCATCCTGAACTCGTTTGTCAATGACATCTTTGAGCGCATTGGTATGTCCTCCTACTTCTTCGTCGCGGGTCTAACCTTTGTCGCAGTGTTGAGGCAGGTGCACCCTGATACCGGGGATCTCCAATGGGGCCACGGCCATCTTGAACTCGTTTGTTCAAACGATATCTTCGTGCGCACCTGTGCACCCTGACAGACTGAAGAAAGTCGCCGCAGATCCAATTGGATTTAGGTATGAACTTCTATTGGACGAGTTTTCTCAATTTTCACTTACTATCGAATTATAGGGAATTGTTTTGTCACAAACGATATTCTTCGTGCGCACCTGTGCACCCTGACAGATGGGCATATCCAATGGGCCACGGCTGTCGGATAAACCACGAGTAGATGGGTCTGCCCCCAATGCACGGCATTTTTTATATCACCACTTATTCACTAGTTGAGACACGACGAGAACATGTATTGTAAGTATCTAGTTAACCACAATGACAAGTTCTTCCGCAGCTATAGCAAGGGTCACAGCCTGGCCTGTTTGGGTTCATGTAATGTTCGCGAGCCTCTGCTGGATTGTCGTTCCAAGACAAGAGGTACTTGAATATGGTACCAGGGTTGTCGAAATTCTCAGCCCACCCACCCCAGTCGCAGATCTTCCGAAATGACCAGCCTCGCACTGTGTGCAGAAATTGATACCCGCTGCAACGAAACGAGTGGGTACCGTATGGACACGGATCAACACTTATGTCGAGGAGATTGTTCCGGAAGCATTCGAGGAAGGAGTCTGAGGTCTGAGTATAACATATCAACCTTAATTCTCTTGATGACTACTAACCTTGAGCTCACCATGCAGTCTGTCGGGCTCACACTAATGCTGTCCACACCAATCCTTTTGCGAAAGATGAACCCATTGAGTTCTCTGTGTCTCTCGTGAGCTATTAGCCACCAGATAGCGAATGCTCGCAGCAAGCACATCCACGGTCGGTCAGGATCAGCGTAGATGTAAAATGGGGCTATGCCTGTGGGTTTGAGGTTAGCTGTAAGGTGGGCAACAGCCCATACAGTCACTGACCTCCATACTGATGTGTCTTTCGAAATGGTAATTCTAGCTTCACTCGAAACTGTGCAGGTTGGTAGCTGACCTGTGACGTGAAAAGCTCGGGAGTCGCATCGAGCCAGTGGTTTTTTATCAGCAAGTCCTGAACCTGGAATGTGACATCGGCCCAGGTGATCCGCAATGCTTCGTCATAGCGGAGCAGGCAAAGCATGGAGAGAAGGTAGAGTAAATAAAGCATCTCACGGAGTAAAAATCCAGCCCATTCAGAAGGATTTTCTGCCTTTCGTTTGCGTGAGATCGGGCCAAATTCTTTTCGGTCTGTGGACCATGCAAATTCCCAGAGCCTCTTCATGGTAGGTTCATCCATCGCGCGAGCACTCATTACTGCTTCGCCTGCTCGGATCTATAGCGTGAAATCAGCACCGACACCTATTTTCATGATGCTAAAGTCCAATACCTTTCGCCGGCGAAGACTGACCATATACTGTGAAATCGTCACCGAAAGTGAGGGGTTTCCGATGAATCTGCCTGGCATAGCTGGGTGCTCCAGCCATGGCTATGTTCCGAGCTGGTAGTCTCTGCCAAATTTGTGGCTTATGGCGGCACGCATCTTCTGTGCTGTGCCATACGTTGTCTTCTTAGATAGATGATCTATAGATAAACACCTATAAAAACAAATATCTCCACGGTCAGCGATTCAGACAAATACCAATGGCTGATAACATGGTCGTTCGTGGGTGGCTGTTTACACTTCCCAAGCTATGTCAGACCACAGTACTTCTGTAAGGTCAGCAACAATGCAGTCAATCCAACAAAAATGAAACTGAAATGAAATCACTCCAACGGTATGGCAGTGATTGAAAGACGAAAGAAAACTAGTCAACCTAACGGTATGGTGATGACAAAAAGAAACAAAGAAAAAAAAGACACCTCTTCAAACCTTCCTTCAACAACAATGCCTTGTAACAATCGTATCTCGAAAGAGTTGTGTGGAATTACAGCAATCAACCCCCTCAGCACAAACAGGTAGAATCAAAGGTCAAGACTAATCAATGCTCAGTAGAACTCTTAGCTCACTGTTGAACCTGCTGCCAAGGAACTCATGATGAGTATTAAACAGAATCAGGAACGGACATCCTTGGTTTCAGTACCAAGTCCCCTATTCAACAACTAAAGTCTAGCAGACAAGGAAGATCCTGGCTCAGTATCACTACTCAGATGAGTGAGGTCAAGCGTTACTGTCAATCCCTAAAGTCTCCCCACTAAACTATTCGGAGTCTAGATGGACGAAAGAGACAACACAAAAGCTTCTGAAAATATGAATGAAAGCTTAGCACTGAAACTTGAAAGAGAAGAAAGAGAGAGGATCACAGAGAGAGAGAAAAGAGAGAAAGAGAGAAAGAACGAAAAAAAACAAAAACAAAAACAAAAGAAAAAGAAAGACTAAAACAAAAGAGTGACAGAAAAGAAAGACAAAGAAAGAAAGAGAGAGAAAAGAGAAAAAGAGAAAAAAAAAAGAGAAAGAAGAAAACTAGAAAATCAAAGAAGAAAAAAATAAAAATAAAGTTCTGTCGGTCATTGAGCACAGTGAGCTCAAGGTCTTGGTCGTCGTTGGTGGTGATGAGCTAAGGGTGTTGCTGAATGCTGATGCTGATGAGCTTAGGGGCTTGCTGGTTACTGAAAGTTGCTGGCTGACTACTGGTTACAATGACTTTGCTGAAGGTACTTGACAGCCCTGGTCACTGTTGTTGACAATGATCACACTTCACACACAATTTTATTCTGAAAGTGGGGCTTAAAAGCTCTCTTCTTTGGGCAAAAATTTGGGTCTTATATACAAAAAAAAGGGTGGCTGTGCTACATTTTTCCCGCCATCTATGAGGGGTGGGCTTAGTCAGCGGTACCAAAAATCATTTTGCAGGGGTTGCTTATGTTGCACCAAATGAGACCATAATTAGTCAGCATTAGTCAGCATGCTTGGGCTGAGTGTTCTGTCATCACTTGATTTGGATCAAAAGTCACCTGACTTAAGATCATGTGATTTAGCATCATGTGACTGAAGGGTCATGTGACAGGCTGATTGTGCACTGCAAGAGAAATATTCATGATCATTGGTGTTCCATTCTGATGTCATTTTGTTGAATGAGAAAATGACGCGAGGCATGTATTTAGGGTTTTGAGGAAGTTTTCCCAGGGTAACCCATGCTAGAACTATTTTTCACAGTCACCTGACATGTGTGGGATTCAGCCTGAGTCATTGTTGAGGATGACTAAGCAAAATTTATCGCAGAATTAAATATACAAAAAATATTCAGCCTGTCTGAGTTCCATTGAAAAGATGAAATGACATATTTGTCTGAGCTGCATTCTGGCTTTAGAATAGAGGGAAATGGTTTCGTAGTGATTTCTAGGGTATTAGGCTCATGGGAGAGCATTAGTCATCCATGCACCGAACCAGTTTGGTGCAGGTCAACGTTGCACGTGGAACACTGGGATCCTTTGCTTTCCCGGTCCATATATCGTTTTCGTCGCATCTCGATTCCATAGCTTAGCACGAAATAAACACAACATTTGATGCACTCACTTATCCATGATCCATAGCGCGATCCACGTTGGAAATTCAGCTGGAAGGTTCGGAAAAAGATTGTCAATCTCGCTCGCAACTTGTGCTTTGTCGATGGTGACACAAAATTCTTTAAACTGATTCCAGTATCTGGAGAGATCACATGCGTGAGATTCAAGAAATTTTCGCTGGTCCCATGCCATACCTCTGGTAGTCGGAGAGTGTTGTACCAATAACCACTCCCTCTGATGCTGCCTGCAAACTAGATGCTAACTGGTTGTTGCTGCGTTTAGGCTTCTTCTTTTTCACATTGTCCTCGCCACCAGCAGTGTTTGTAGTACTGAACCGAAGGGTGCCGGCAGCTTCACAGTCATCAACATCAAAGCTGTTGAGGAGAGATTCCTCCTCCTCGGTCTGATCCTCTTCTGCAGCCTCGATACTGATGCGTTTTGACTCGGTAAAGTATAAATCAGCACCTTTGAAGGCATGTAGTAAGGACTCGGACATGATAGAAAATTTGGGTTCAGAGTCTAGACCAAGTGATCGAGAATTGAAACACTCGGCCGGCACGGAAACAAACTAACTTGAATGCCCTGATTCAATTTAAACATTGAAACTGACACGTAAATATATTACCATTACAGTTCATGGTGTCACCATGTCTCAACATCACTCAGAGTCAGAAGAGCTCGAACTGCCCGTACTTGGTCAAATGTACACACCAGGACAAGCAGTTGAATCTTTCATTTGGACAGTGTATGTCACACATTTCTCCCCCTTTCAGCATGTTTGATTTAATTCATGAAAATACAACAGAACAGCGAAGACAACGAAGGCTAACTTACACGAGAAGCTCAAGAGCTATGACAGGCCAACCCGTGGCAATCACATGGAGATGTTGGACAGACTTCGTCAGTTTTCCAATGACCGAGACGAGGGGCTGAGGTGTGTCACCGGCGTGTGTGCTGAATCAGTGCTCGTGTACCTAATTCTTGGTAAAGCTTATTCAGGCCTAAGTTGAAACAGAAACGAGGGGAACATGCCTCACGCCAATCCCTTTCGAAACGAAGGATTGAGGAGGTGTATAAAGATACACGCACGTTACACATGGAGACTCCAAGCTCTGGGTGCCATAACACAGTTGTCCAGTCCCACGCAGAAGCATGCATTGTCAGCAACAACGCGCCGTCCAAACCTCGCACAATGATGCAGACAGCATCCATGTCTCTGCCTCCAGAGGTAATCCCCCCCAAAAACCTCGGAATTGCGCACCTTGGCCAAGAGCAGTTTTCGTATGACAGGACAACTGTGCCGTCACCTCCTACAGTCCACCTCTCAAAAGATATCAACCAGCTGTGTGAAGAATGGGAGGAATCGAACTTACTTGTTGTCAACGGTCGTGGAATCCCTGTCAAGTATTGGGGTGAGTTCTACAAGAAAGGAAAGGGTGTCAAGACTGCAGCATGGGATGCACTTTGAGTAGAATAGGGAAATTGGAAGGTATGATTGATCTCCAGCGAGTCACACATGCTATCTGACCGTTCATTTGTCTTCAAGTTCATTGCTGAAGAACGGCAGCGATACCCAGACAACACCTCGTTCTGGCGTGCATTCAGTGATGAGAATAGTAAGATTTTTTCTTACCAACAGATCCTGAACCATCTTGCAGAGCACCGAGTCTCTGCTGCTGCCCGAGATGCTAAAGATGCACGCGATTTTTTTGGTGGCAACCTCAACCACCCACTGGCCCGCGGTGCCTTTTGCTACACAAAAGGTGGCAGGGCTTACTTGTCGAGCAAGGACGACGCCATTGCAAAAAAGTGGCGCGAGCTTCTGACGACACGTCCTGACATTGTCGAACAACGGACACGCCAAATCTTCGATGGACCACAACCCTGAGGAGCAGGTTTCTTGATCATAAGTAAGGTAGCTTCGATGTTCACTCAGGCATTTGTCCAATAGTTCATTAACAGTAAATTTTTCTAATCTACTACTGTACACACAAGTATGCGCTACATAATCTAGTTATTTTGTCTCCACACCTGCGGCCCCAACTGTTGCGCCCAAAGATGTTGTTGACAAGGGGCCATGCTTTCTCCGACACCGAGGGCAGTGGTCGTAGATAACTTGGCACAGTTAGATGCTAAACCGAGCCATTCAAGGTTTTCATGAAGGAACACATCGGAAGTTGTTCCAGTGTGCATGAAGGTGTTCTGCGGAGTGACTGAGGTATGATATATAGACGTCCGGGCCTCGAGAACGTCCTGGCGACAAATATTAATGACAATTTAATCTATAACGAGAATACTCACTTTCGTGTTCCTCAGAACCAGCATATCTACCTTATTGCTGTGCTTCAAGAATTCCAGGTATAGTTTGACAGACTCTTGCCCATCCAGAATTTTATGGAGCTTGTCGTATATGTCTTGGATTTCCTAGAGACAAAGTTAATATATTACTAGCATGTAGATACCAATACTCGACTTTGATGATGGCTTATGGTGCGCCATGTGCCAGGACGTGCGTGAGATGACCGTCGTCCACAGAATATTGACAGTGGAGCTATGTAACTGCATGAATTAGGATGGGATGTCAGGAGAGCCCATCACACAGGCTCGTGTTTTGGGATGACAACGTCAATGCTATACAAGCTGCGCGATACTAAATACATGGGGGAAGGGGGCACTAGATACAGTAGGTTGAAAAATAACAAGTGTATCAGAGAGTAAGATCGATAAAGTTATGACTGGCACCGGCGCTCCAGGGCACTACATCATCCCCATCTTGAGTGAGGTCCATGACATCACTGACTGCCACTGCTTCGTCATCGCGCGTGAGATCAATGACACCAGTCGCAGAAGAGAGAGTAGCGTTTGAGGTGCTGGGATGATTCGGAGACTGCAGAATCATTGTCTGCACCCAGGAATCGTAAATTTTGTCGGCGAGCCAAACTCGAACATATCTGTGAGATCGCGGTGCACGATCCTCACAATGAGAGCAGCCAGGTGAATCCTCGAGCAACTGGAGTGTGGACTGCTCGAGGTCATGAGTGGGCACATCGTTATTGTGCCCTGGAACACCTGCAAGGGCTTTTTTCGGGTGCACAGCATGGCTCTGAAACACTGCCCTCGTGCAGGCAGGAGCAAGGGCAATCTGTACCTGACATTAATCAAAATATTCCACGCAGAGGAGAACGGCGACAAACCTCATCACTTGCAGGAGAATTATTAGCCAGGTCCTCGAGGACTTCATTCAAGACCACAACAGGCCAGATCATCGAGCGAAAGGTGCTAACAACCTTCTTCGATTCCCAGCCAAGAAGCTGTTGAACAAGCGAGGCAAGTGGAGCAATGTCGGGCGGGGCGGGGGATTGGAGAATAGGCAGCTTGGTGATTGCAGTGACAGCAGGGCGTGCATACAAGTCGACAACATGTGGATCAGGGAATGAGTCAGGGAACGAGCGTGCAAGAGTAGGATGAGAACGTCCCATTTTTCCAGTGGGGTCATCCACAAGATGATACCGAGCGGCATCCCGCCACCGTTGCAGAGGCCCATCAAGGCTGTTGCCACACATGGCAGTGCGAATCACACCAGCATCCATGCAGCGAGCCAGGCCAAGCGCCATTTCACGACCACACCCCACCAGGCCCTTCTGGAAAGCAGGTCTTGTCAGCCAGGCTGGCAGCAGACTGGTTCAGCTTACCTTGTCATAATCACCGCCACAGCATATGGCAAGGGTGAGGAATCCATCGCCAGTAAGATGGCAGTCCACGTGCTCTTGAATCGCACTCGCTGTATATAGTTTGACCATCGAATCAATTGAAAATGTCGAACTTGAAATGGATCAGAGCATGCAAATGAGAGAACGAGAGAGAACTTACTTGCGCAGGACAGTGTGAGCACCAAAAACAAATGTGTCGCTGTCGTCCATCATGACAGCGTCAATAACACCGGCACCGTTCATCTGCGCCAGCTGCGCCTCGGCTTCTCCAGCAGCCTGCCAGTAGATAGATCTAAGTGAAAAGTGTGAATAAAAAATAATAAGAAAAAAATGTACCGTGATCCATTGCACATTGAACACATTCAGTAGTCGCTGCGTAGGCTTGACCATCCAATGGTCGTTGGTGGATACCCTGTGGCCCCATTTGATCTGCGGTCGCTGGTTGCCGTCGAACACGAAGACTAGCTGGACTGGCAGACAGGCGAGGCAAGCGAGGCGAAATAAAAATGTGCGGAGGGCAGGATTTTGGCCCGTCTAAGCATGTGCACGGTGCCACCTGCCCTGCTGGCATTGTTCGAACCACGCACTAGATTTAAACGTGAGTATTCAAGCACAGACAGCGAGCAGGAGAACACGAACCTTGCGTCGATGCCCACAACATAAGGCACATGCGGTGTGGGTCCCTCGTAGTGGCCCTGGATGGTGAGAGAGATGAGGGGCATGGTTGCTGCAGCAGGTTTGAGGACCTGAAAAACGGGGTGAGTTGTCATCACCCGGCGAGTGAACAATGGGGAGGACGTGTCTCCCATAAGTCGTTGATGCCCATCATGACGAGCACGCTAGAAATGTAATTATAGATCAGTAAGGGCTGATGAGCACAGCTGCTAGATAGGTGGAGGAGATGGGGAGCTGAACGAGAACAGGAGACTCACTTACCTACAGCGAAATGTGTACATAAGCGCCGGTGGCAGTACCAGCCAAGGTCCTGGACTGCAAATCCGAGGACCGTCAATCTGCAGTATAGCAGCATGCAGCGCGGTTTTTTTGGCGGGAGGAGAGGTCGGGTTACCACCCAAACCGAAGGTGGGTGCAAATGGAAGATTGACGGTCCTAATGTGCGAAATTCGCAGTCCCTCGGTTAGCGTGTCGGCATTTTCCCTTAGGCATGTTACATTGTGCTCACCTGCTCACCCAGGCACCCTCTGATCCGTCCAGCAGCTTTTGGAGCTCTCCCGCAGCTCAAAACCGTCGATTTTCGCCGCCCACGGCGTCCGCTGATCCGTCCCGCACATATTCCGTGCTGATTTCAAACTCTGGATGGGCTGGACTTAGAACTTCTGGGGTCGCGTCTGGACTTGTGGCAGTTTCACGCGAGGCAGTGTAGATGAGGAATCTTGACTATACGTGAAAACACTTAAAACAAAAGGGGTGCTCAACAGCAAGACCGGGATACGAGACAACGACTCGACCCAAAGGACAACCACTGAGAGAAGTTCCTCGAAATAAAGTGGAGGGAAACTCTGTGAGCTAGGCGGGCGCTAATAGGCGCGAGAAGATAACGCGCGCGAAGGCGCGCGTGCGCGAGGTGAAGGCGCGCGAGATGCGCGCGTGAGCGGGAGGTCCGAGAATGCGCGCGCGCGAAGCGAAGGTGCGCCTAAAGCGTTAGAGGCAAGATCTTACTGAGGAGTGAGTGCAAAGGTGGAGGATTGACAGGAGGATATGATCGGATAACAAGTGGGGAGGTGATCTATTCACTTTCCAGTACACAAAGATAAGGGAAAAGTAAGTACCAGAACCAAAGGAAACCCTTCTGTATTTAAGAATGGAGAAGGCGCGCTTCCGAGCGCGCTCCCGAACCGAGTAACCATATCAACTCTAATTATAACTAAGTTTAAATAAACTTTCCATAAGTAGCGCGGATGTCGGACCGAAGATTTTATTAGTTCAATGGATAAGATAGAAATAACGCACCAGCGAATCAGTAAGGACATGGGACGGATGGACGGACAATAGCGCGAAGACCTATGAGGAGGCGCGCGAAGCGCGCATAGCGCATGCCTAGGTAAGGCGCGCCTAAGTTCGCACGAGTTCGCACGAGACTGGTCCTTAGGAGTAGAGCTGTAACATATAGGAATGTATGGTTAAAGGCCGGATATTCGTCATTGAGACGCGCGAGTCTCTACAGCGGTGGCACTGCAAGATTGGTCAGCTGTCACACAGTCACACTGGACCGTCAATTTGTTCATGATCAGCTCTACTTCCTCATCAGGGAAAACCTCCCGCGAAGATTTTGTAAAATTTTGTAAAATTTTCTGACTTTCTGAAAATACATTAAAATATTCCAAGTCCCTCTACGGATGGGTGAAAATTTATGAAAATCCACACGAATACAACAAAATGATTATAATGTGATTAAATACTAGAATATCGCAAATCACAAGATATGAAAATGAGGAAATGAGACAAAACGTGTAACGCAAAGTCCCTGTGCTATCAGGAATGCCCTACTCATCCCATCGAAATTGATTCGCGCAAATGCTGCTTTCAACTCAGCGGATGCAAAGTCAACCAACTTCAGATCAAGTAGGGAAGAAAAAATCTGGTAGAACACAGTAAGATAGTGCTTGAACAGTTAGAAAAAGATGCACCACAGTAACCACAGCTGAGACCATGGAATTCGGGATCCGATGTTCATAGTAGCAATAATGGCATCGACTGCTGATAAATTTTTAGAAGTATAGTTATGATCAGAGTATTGCGGTGTATCGTAGCACACGTGTCGGAAGATCGGACAGTGGACATGAGTCAAGAGCTCATCCCGATTGGCTTGAGGACTATGAATAACGCAGTCGAGGTTGGCTTCCAACTTCCTGGAAGCATGTCAATAATATTTGTAGTCTCCAATCCGAGCACCATACCGGAAGGCTGCAGTAGGATTGCCACCGAACATAGGGCTAGCAGTGAGGCCCAAGACCATGGGATGTTCGTCCTGCTCAGTCGTCACACTAGAGCCGTGGACCACAGGGAGGTGGGTAGGGAGGAACCAGGAATCAACCACATGACTCACCTGCGCGCCTCAGAATGCAGTGGCCCGGCTCTGGCCTGAGCTGCGGCTCGAGTAGGGAATTTGCAATTCTGACAGTGAGCATGAGCGGGTCGCTGTGAAACCAGGATTCAACTACATGACTCACCCTCAGAATGCAGTTTTGAGCTATGTGTATGCTCCAAATTGAGCCTGTAGCTGGGAGAGATCAGGAAGGCCGGTTGGACCGCCAAAAAGAAGGGAAAAAAAGGAATCCTACATAGACACCTGGTTTGAATGACCACGCACAGATGAATGCGACAACAGAATTCAGACGCCCGCTCAGAGCGAGACTTAGCTCTGTGGTGGTGATGCCTCTCACCTAGAGTCCCCAACAGTAACCGTAAGGGAGAATGAAAACATAAAGAAAACGACGTGACAGGGTGTGCAAGTGGTTGCCGTGGCTCGTGTAAGTTGCAGAGTGAAACATGAATATTTGAATGAGTTCATTGAAATCAACCATGGGAGCCCTGTGATTAGTAATTAAATCGTTGGTGGTTCAATTTTCAATTTCTCAATTTACTTGTTGTCGCTGAGGCTAAGGCCCTTCGAGCGAGCTCTATGTAGCCAGCAGCAGACACCTCCGAATTCTCCCTCCCACCTGTTTAAATATGTCCCCGTTCTGCATTGCGTGAACTCTACATTTTTGATATACTAGTAATTAGTTACATATCTCATGGCAGGTTCAACTAGAGCCCTGTAGATATCTTTTTCAGTGCATTCACTGACTGCGTTATGGATGTGACTATTTATCAACTATTTACAAGCTTTTACAAAAATTTGATGAAAGTTTGCCATAATTCTCGAGAATTGTTGTCACATTTTCAAAATTCCTGTGGGAGGTTTTCCCTGATGCTGGCGTTGAAGCCATAACGCCATTTGTTCCTCATAGTCACGCTTGTTGCTCGCACGGTAAGCTTCTTTAGCGAAGTCGATGTGCAGGCGCTCAGGAAGCTCGGTGTTGAATCCATCAGCAGCCCTGAACAATTTGATTGACTGGACATAGTGAGACAATTGATGCAGCTTCGGAATGTTTAAATGATCGTGAACATCAAGTTCCTTCAACACATCCTTGTGCACGTGAAATACTGTGAGTGTGTTTTCGAGACCGTCCAGGGATTCGCTCGTATGTGTATGCAGTTGTGCATAATAGCAAAAGTCCAGTATGGCCCGTGCAACAACAACGACTCGACTGAAAACCGAAGTGGATCAAATACTTGAAAAATAGCACAAATAAAAACATACCTTGGTACTGCGCCAGCAATTAATGCAACAAAGATATGTTGCATCTCCTTGTGTTCCGTTCCTGTCCACTGTTTGACACTAGATATACCTTTCTTAAAATGACGAAGACCTGGGTAGTCAGGCATGGCCTTGAAGCGGGCATCAATTTCATCCTCGCCCGCAATGTCGAGACACCACTTCACAAGGTGGTCTTTGAAGACTCCTTTGTGCAGCTGGTGGAGGAAGTCTGGTGTGAAAGCTGTGAAGATGTTGGTGTGGGGTAAATTGCCCCAGAATGGCCTATACATGGCACGCAGCCCATCCTCGTCGAATTCTACAGGGTGCCGACCATTCCTCCGTCTCTCTAGCGTCTCTTTTGTTGACTCCGGGTCCTGCATCAACGAGTTTAGTGGGTTGCCCCGCTCATCAGCCGCAACCAAACACTTAGGGCAACGATTCTCCTTACAGCATGCAACAAGGCACTGTTCAGGGAAATCTGCGACATATGCAGCCAGTATGGGGTACACTCGCCGAATGAAGGAGTCAGCACACACCATTTCCACACCATCCCGACCAGCTGCAATGAGAGGTTCCAGCAGCAGAGACAAACAGTGATGAAAAAGTTGGTATCCAGCCAGGGAACATGCGTCAGAGGTGAAGCAGTCGAGTTTTGTGGCTGGTAGGTACCCAATGAGGATTGTTGCCCAGGCAGATGTTTGTCGTCGCTTTTCTTTTGCGATGTTGCCGATTGATAGGTAAATGGGCCAAGCAGATTTGTCGCCTCGAAATTGTGATAACAATGTCTTGTCAGAGGCCAGAATAATAGGTGCCAAGGTTGCTCCTTCGGGCAGTTCTTTCTGATCCAGCGGCAACTTAGATCACGGCGCTACTCTCATTTCAAAATCAATGTTCTACTCACCTGCTTGTCCCACCACCAATCAGCCATCCACATGTCATCTATGAGCTGTTCACTACCTCCTTTGTCCTTGTATGCTCGTGATGGTGCGTATGCCATATGGTTTTTGAATGACGGATTCCCAATAAGATCTTTGACACACTCTACAGGATCTTGCATCCAGATTTCAACCTCTTCACTCAATGACCGCCCATCCTCGTCTTCCCGATTTCCTTGCACCATCACTTTCTTGCAACTCCACGAAGCGCCATGCGGGAGCTCATCCACCCTCTTGAGGAATGTCTGATTGTTGTGAAATGATGGCTTCGTTCGATTTTTGGTCTGTCGTGTCTCATTTTATAGTTTTCTTCATAATATTCAACCAAATACTCACTATGGGTAATTTCAGATATTCATCTGTTTGTGTCTGACCAAGATTTTTGATCATCCATTCGGCTAGTCTCCACTCTTCCTCGTCAGCAAAAGGTGCCCAGACATCCTCGCCCTCATCCTCCTTGTGCTGACAATAGCTTTCAAACACAGTCTTTCCCTCTTCTATTGGCCGGCCAGCATTAGGGTAGCTTTCAAAAAAGCGCCTGTTATATGTGCCATCTTCGTCTTCGACTTCCTCAACAGTTACACGGCGAATTTTCAAAGTGGCATTGTCCAGATCAGGAGGCGAGTGTGTGCGACTGAAGGGGGGAAAATGAGTCTGCGATTTCACCGAGCATATGATCAGGTGCGAATTCCCTTTCATTATCATGTGTATTCGAGTCATCAATCACATCAGCTACAGCATCTGTTTCTGCGATTAAGGCTTCCCACTCCTTTCTGCATTGAGGGCGCCCAAGAATGTGTCTTTTGACACCTCCAACGGTCAGGATGTCCTTGCCGCAGAAGCCACAGTGGTGAGACATGGTAAGGGTGGTAAGGGTAAGAGATATCACAGTTTCGCATTTTCGGGCTTGCTCGGACTCTCAGACTTTTGTTTGGATTGGCAATAGGCAAGTTTTGATTCAGTTTCGCTTTTTTGAGCTATTTTACACTAAACTAATTTAGTGATTCTGAGTGCTGCAAGGTGCACCTCCAACAGTTGTGCCTTGCGTGCCTCCTCACAATGCTCAAATTCTGCCTCCCAACGCTCCAAGACAAGTTTTCGCAGGTATGACTGCAAAACAGTAACTGGTGCTGGTGTTTGGCGATACGGGGGGTAGGTGTCTCAGGTACTTCCAAGAGATGGGGAGCGGGAAGGGGGCTTGGAGTAGGAGCAGGAAGGAGACTTGGTGTGGCAGATGAGGCTGCCCCGTTGTCATAGTAAATTGGCAACAGAATTCTGCGGACAAGCTTTCGCCTGTAAGTTGATTAGTAATTGTGAGGATGCAAACATGAATTGACGCACTTTTTTAGGTTCAATTTGAATGTTATCGGCTCTGTGGTGAAGTCTGCTGATGGTGTGCATGATCTAGATATCAAGTCAGATCATGGTAAGTGTTTTGAAATCGGACTCATTCATACTGCTTGAAGAGGTTTACTTGATCCATGGCAGGGCAACTCAATGGATGAATGGATGCAGTTATGGGATTGAACGTTGCAGGTATGTTTTCGCCTTCTTATAGGCTGCAGACTCCTGATTCACCCGAAGATAATTTTTATTCAATTCAACAGACTTAAAGTTTGGAAGAGCGTGTTGTTGACACGCTGTGTGCATGTTGTCATGCACATAAAAATCGGTATGTTCCTCACATTTAAATTTTACCTGATCATCTCTTAACCTAAAATTTTGTTCTATGGCTGGCAGATTACTCTCGAAGTCTCAGCGCACTGCACCAGGTGCTTCCAAAGCAGGATCCAAGGATATACCAACCCGCCTTGGACAATCACCCATGCGCACATCCAGTGGTCGTCAACGCCATCCCACAGAGAAAGAAAATTATCGAAGTAAGTCCCAATTGCTCTCAGAGATTTTAACTGAGCCAAACATACTAGTCTCCGAAGTTCAACATGTTGAGCGACGCCATGAACAGAAAAAACAAAGGACCGACCAAAGGACTGTGAAGGCACTTCGCACAGTCTTCAAACATCATCCTGAAGTCTTTGACAATGAGCCTGCGGAACTCCATAGTGATGCTGACGTTGATGAAGACACTATGGTACGTCTCTCTGTCCTCAGCCGTAGATGATCACTGATTGATGAATCATAATTAGTTCACAGATCGAAATGTTCATAGCAAGCTTTCCTTTAGTACTGGGAAGATACCACCTACTCTCACACCAGTTTCGTGCAACACAAGCTCTGCATGCAAGTCCTTAAGCAACAGCCTCATAAAGGGTTATAAAGGTGCGTGTTCAGAATGTACATCTAGCTACTACTAACACTTGAATCCCAGGCTCATTGTCATCTTCGACTGCGGTGAGTAGTGGTGAAGTCTCCATGTCAGATGGCAGCCCTACTTATCCAGGACGCCACCCTACTGTCCACAATAGTGAGGATGAGTGGGCTGATGATCCTGATGCAGATGAGGATGACTTAGAGGACGGTGACAGTGATGGAGACTCAATTGGTGAACGTGAACCTGTCGTTTTGGGCATCAAGCGGCCCTCAGACACAAAATTTGAAGACCCTATCATGCCGAAGGTGAAGAAAAGTATGGACGGCTCAGCTCAGCGCTTGAAGGCCAGTGATTTCGATGATATCACGAAGGAGATTCTCACTACTGCAATCACAATTTTCCAGTGCCTGGTTGTCACTCGCGCACCATTTCCAGACTCGATCCTCATTGAGACGAAGCTAGCTAAGGAGGCCTGGCGTGAAGCATGCAGCACCAAAGGGATCAATGTTCGACTAACACCTGGGTTAATGAAAATGGTGAGCTGTCTAATCTTGTGATTGTGTTGGACTCATTCATCGTGATCTAGATCTTGAAGAGAACTTCTCATGTCCGCAGCGAGCTGAAGACCAAGATGCGATCGCTGACAGGGTCATTTTTTGGCTTTCGTGCGAATGACAGTAGGGAAGTGATTAGGCGCAATCGTGATCGTGCAGAATCTCTCAAGGAGGGTTTGCTGTTTGCTTACAAGGTGTGTGATGGATCATCTACATTATTTGTTGTTTGAACTCATGCGATTCTAGGACTGGGAGTCCAAGCAGGGAATCTACAAGACGGACTTATTACAAATGGGTGTCAATCACATGTGGTTTGCAAACCGCAATGATGAGGGCATCGTTTACCACCGGTACTTCAACCCTTTGCCTGTCGAAACAATGGCACTCTTGCTGGCGTCTGTGAGTACTAGGACCACTTTTCTGATGTTAGCAACACTGACGAATGACAGATTGAATGTTGCATTGACGAGTGGGGTACAGGTATCAAAGAAGATGTCAAGTTCTCGGCAGCAAATTATGCATCTGTCTACAACACCCATCTCGACTCCTTGCAGCGCTTTGAGGAACACACGGCCCCCTACAAACTCCTCGAAAAAATCCATGTCAATCTGCACGATGCAGCTAGGTGAGTCTTCATTCAATCAAGACTACTATAGAAGTTCTAATGGCAACTTGAAGGTTTCATGCAGGTGTAGACTTCCTCCTCGCGTCGTCAACTGGGTCCCATGTGACTGAGGAAGCATTTGATGATGCTCTTCTGGAGTATGAGCAGGAGTTGCAGGACGAGGAGGAGGAACAGGACGAGAGGGATGGGACAGAGGCTCAGGGAGATATGTAATTTTATATTGAAATATATAACTACATTGTGCTACATACAGGTGCGCTATGACAGATATATTTTGTCACTCTCATGTTACATGGCATGTCATAGCGCTCTGTAGAGTCCTCGGGAGGTACATTGCTCTACAGATTGGGGGGATGACGACGGGGCTACAGAGGCTATGTTGCCTACAGAGCCCTATATTCTCATCTAGATTTTTCCTGATGCATGTGTGGCGTAATGCAAAGGTTCTGTGGAACAGGGAAGTAAAAGCAGCATGTCTGAGCTGATAGCCCCAAGGATAAACCCATTTGAGATCCATCATATATCTGAACATAACGAAGGAAGTGAGTAGAAGCCCAGATGGTTGACAATACAGTGGCACTGGTTTGCAGGACACGACTTAAGTGACTCATCTGACATCTGGACTGGACTTAGGCGAATGGTGAAATCATATTTGTGAAAATGAAAGTGTGAGAAGTATATGGATGGGTACGATGAGCACCATCAAACATAATGGCAATGATTCATGATGCTGCAAGGAGAACAACTCTCTTCTCACTCACGGCGTGGCAATAAGCAGAATGGTTGGTGCCTTTCACATTACACAATATTGATGTCTGTGCTAGTATGACAACATCTGGCACAAATGGTACCTGCATATTTTCAAACTCCGTGCTTCGCCTCCGACTCAGAGATCGACCAGTTCAAGCACAGCATCAAATTTCCTCACTCTCAAAACACATACATAACATATATATAGTCAGATCACAAGTCTATCAATAGAGGGCATTCGCATAGGAAATACTCTCATGTTTGGCGCAGTTCCCTACATCCGCAACTAGTGGGTGCGAATGACGCATAGTATGGTATTCCCTGGTGAAGCCATATCATATGTGTGGCACTAGGTGAGACTTCGTGAGGGGTGGTAGTCAAATGCCAGTAGAACATTCTGGAAAACATAAACATTAACTATATACACATGGCATCACCAGTACATGCATCATGTAGATCTCGGCGGTACAAACAGGCGGCCCGAACGTTGGTATATCTAGTACGAACATTAGATCATTATAACCCCCAATATCCCCCGCTCACTCATGCCCATCCCTCAAATATGACCCTGGTCTCAAATGATCCTACTTGGTGGCCCATGATCAAATTGAATATCTTTAATAGCTATTGGATTGGTTTGTCGTATCAGTTCATGATGTCTCGAATCTCTCGATCTAACATCGACTTGTGGTTTTGCAGTTGCCGCAGGCGTTGTGGTGTTATATGATTGGGGTGGAGCCCCTTCAGTGACAAATTCTGTATTATACGGGCCAGCTGATCATGGGCCCATGTTGTGTATATTCTCGATGATGACGGATGGGCTGGGACTCATATTATTTCCGATGGAGACGGGTGGGCCCATGTATGCCAATGATATATATATCCTTAATGTTGACGGATGGGCCGGGGGAATATGATCATTCATGGAGATGGGTGGGCCCATCTGGGTAATATGTAGAGTAGGATATTATAGACAGCTGGGCTGAAGAGAGATGTAAGGCAAATATTGTTATATAGACGGGCAGGCCGACGTGGGTGTATTACATATATGGGTGGGCCGAGGTAGGGGAATATTACATAGACGGGTGGGCTGACGTAGGGTGTATTACATATACAGGTGGGCCGACATGGAATGTATTACATATACGGATGGGCCGACGAAAGAGATATCAAATAGACCGGTGGGCCGAGGGTGCTATAAAATATTTATTACATAGACAGGTGGGCCGAGGTGGGGTATAATTATATAGACGGGTGGGCCGATGTAGGATGTATTATATAGACGGGTGGGCCAACATAGGATGTATCACATAGACGGGTCGGCC